ATCGTTAATGTCCGTTACTATAACCACTATAATTTCATTATGTAATCACAATATATAAACATATCACTGCTTGTACTGTTTAGGATTCTTTTTTTTTTTTTTTGAAGACAATGTTTTATTGTAATAACAGTATAATAGAATACAAATGGGTATTAATTTGGGTTCTTTGATATGTTTGTACCAATTACAATTCTTTCCTCAAAACTTTAGGATTTTGTTTGGATTTATTTCAATGGATGGTATAATAATAAACCATGGAAACATATTGATTAGGTTTATTTGATAGGTTTGTAATAAAATGGTTTTTTTAAGAAAAATTTGGGCTCTTGTTATTTATTTTATTTCAATAAATGACATAATAGAACATGTATTTGTATGCAAAATTTAAACAATTTGATATTCTGTACTAATATTGGGCCCCATACAAGAAAAGGTAACATTGGGATTATGTTGGCATAATTATGATGATATCATAGAATTTTAAAAATCTACTAAACACTAGCTAGGGTCTATATGTTTACACACACATTTCAAAGTCTTAAGTGCAATATTCTAAATGTGAGGAGGTTTACATGATTAAACAATAAACCTCGAGGGGACAAAGTATACTAACACAAGTTTAAGTGTTACACGCGTACAAATCTCAAAGGCCTGTATGTAATTAAGTGATAAATCTAAGAGGATCTAAATGTGATTTACCTTAAAAGTTTCCAAATAGTAAAACTTGTGAATCTAGGAGAAGAGCCACAACATGCATTGGTACTCACCGCCATATAATGGACACTCAGTCCCTGTTTTAACTCACATTTCAATACTGCCTTAAATTTTGTCATCAGACCCTCCTATAAAAGAGTCTTATCAGCAAGGCCATCCCAAGGTCCATACTCTCTCCTTTCTTGATCATGTGGACTCAAATAGTACTGTAAAAAGTTCAGAATAGATAAGAACATGGAGAATAGCTTCTAATAGTTGTTTCATAATCGAAAGAAAAAAAGCTGTCATAACTCATACCCAAAAAACCATGTGAGAGAGTAACAATTCAGTCTCCATTGCAGGTTATAACATTTATCTTCTTCCAAGTTCCAACTCACATTTTTCAAGTACTGATGAAACTGCCACTTGTATTACTAGACATAAAATTTCTACGAGGTTAAGTAAACATAAAGCATTGGAAAATCAAATCTTTCATCAAGTACTTCAATGTTGCTAAAAAAAAGTTACATGTGAAGAGAGAATTAGATATATAAAGAGGTACCAGCCTACATAAGCACAAGAAATTTTCCATAAAAACATATCCCAACAGCCCAAGACATTTTTTTTGATAGGAAACAGAATTCATGTATTATTACTAGAAACAATAATAAAAAATTGAAAAGTACATCAAAGATGTAGATAATAACAAAGTGAAAAACAAGAAACTAGACCACATAACAAACTTAGAAATCACATGAAGGTCTCCATCTCGCTAAAATAGCAAAAAGCGGAATTCCTTTGAAGTCCTTAGTAACCGAAATCCAGAATGATGTTAGAAATAGACACGGTTCCATGATCCTTCCAAACACTCACAACTATCTTCAAAAGTTCGTCCATTCTTTTCTTTACATATGACCCAAAAAATAGTCATTATTGCACATTTCTAAAGATTGAGTCCCTTATCACTCCTCCCAAACCCCATAATATCTTCAACAAACAAGGTTGTTGATGACTTAGGAATCACCCAACTCAAGCTCGTTAAACTAAACAAATTATATCATAAGCATAAAGCAATAAGGCAATGTAAAAACAAATGATCAATACTTTCAAAAGCACCTTTACACATCAGGGGGGAAGAGAAAAATTGGATCTTCTCTTTTGAAACATGTCATTGGTATTTATCTTACCATGTGCAATAGTCCATGCAAAAACTTCCACTTTCGTGAGCACTTTGGCCTTCCATATCATCAAAGCAAGATGAAAGATGCAACTATAAGATTCATGTAAAGAAAGATTTACTAGAAAAAATACCTGAAGACTCCAAAACCCACATTCTTTTGTCATATGATTTTGATCCAATAAAGAGTCATCAAGCATAGAAAGAAATGGAATCAATTCTCCTATAACCCTATCATTCAAATTTCTACGAAACCCGAAATCCCAAGAGTACAGATGATTGTACAACCGGAGCACAAAAGCGATGGAAGTCCCCTGAAAATAAGATAACAGATATAGACGTGAAAACAAAGATGAAAAGGATGACTGCTCCACCCATATATCCTCCCAAAAATGCACTCTTTCCCCAATTGCACGCAACATACTTTAGATTTTGGAAAAACCTTGTCAACCCCAGAGATATAAATTTTCACGGGCTCCGAAAACTTTCCCTTTCAACCCCATTAGTATCCCATCCATTGACTTGTAATCCATATTTTCTTTTGATAACTAAATGCCATAGAGAATTTTGTTCTAAGCGAAACCTCCGAAGTCACTTACCTACTAAAGCAATATTTCTTACCTTCAAATTTTCAATTGAAAGACCACCCTTATCTCTAGTTCTAAAAACCATCCCCCAACTTAGTAAATGATCCTTCCTCCCCACACCACATCCTTCCCACAAGAAATCTCTCATCATTTTTTCATGCTTCATCGTAATCTTCAACAGCAACTTAAATAACGATAACAAGTATGTGGGAATACTAGCCAAGACTGATTGCAATGAAAACTCTATTTCATCCATCAAGTCTTTTACTGACTCTTTCTACTACTGGATCCAAAAAAGATGAGGACAATGGATTTATGGGTCACTCCCCCACTTTATACCCCAAAAGTCCTCCAACTCTATTGATCTTATCATGTTTCGAATTTATACCCACAAGTAAGCTTTTGTCCATATTCACCTTCAATCCCAATACCAACCAGAATAGCTCCACAATATTCTTAAAGTTTAAAATCTTTTTCTCATCCCTTATAGAAAAGAAAATTATATCCTCAACAAACTGTATGTCCCTCCTCACAATAAATCCTTTATTCTCCGCATTCCTCACTAATCTACTAAGTCCATCTGCAACTAAAGTAGAGAGAAAAAAAGATAAAAGATTATCTTGCCTCATCCCTCTAGATCCCTTAAATCTTCCTCTAGGATTTCCATTAAGAATAACAAATAAGTTCATCGAATGTAAACAACTTTTAATCCACCTTCTCCATCTGAATCTATACCGTTTAACTTCCAAGACAAAGTCAAAGAAATTTCATTCCACACAGTCATAGGCCTTTTCGAAGTCAATTTTAACGACAAAACCCTAATTTCCTCTAGTTCTATAATCCTCCACAACCTCATTAACAACTAGAGCAACATCAAGAATTTGCCTATCCCTAACAAAGGCACCTTGACAAAACTTAGAACTTATGTCACTAAGAGCCTCCCGTAATCTCAACGATAACACTTTCACAATAATTTTATAGAGACTAGAAACCAAGCTTATCTGCCTAAAATCCTTTATCTTCATGACTTGTCTTTCTTAGGGATTCAATAATGATGGAATTATGCCTTTCTTCCCTTTGCTTTTTCACTCCTATCCACCATAATTTTTGCCTGGAACAAATTTTGGTGAATGAGCGTGCTACAAGCCATCTTTACGTATCCTCTACAGCAATCTCCATTCTCCCTAAATACATTTTCTTTCCACAAATGAAAGTGTAAGTCTTCGATTCCAACTCATCCTCCGAAGAAAAACATCATATCCCATCCCGAGTTTGATTCAAGAATCCAATTAGATAATCCCACCTCAGCAACCTCCTCCATCTTCAACACCCCTTTACTGCCTACCTCGTCAGCATGGTTCTCATCTTTTCAAAAGAAAACAGCCTCATCAACATGGAAAGGGCTCGTTTCATTTCAATTACTTCACATTGTTCTAACTGTCATCTATGCTCCAATTATTAGCTACTGATAAGTGATAATCACATGACTTATAAAACCATCAATCTGGCCCAAAAACTCATAAACAATCATTATGACCCATCTACATATTCCTACCAAAAGACCATCAAGCATAATAAATAAGAAATATATGAGAATCATGCAAAAAGGGAAATTTTCATGTAAAAAATGAGCCTATATACCTCATAGACTGAAAAGTGTATGGCATTCTTTAGTTGTAGCCAAAATCCGAAAAGCCCTTATTCACCCTTCCACCTTCAATGTCACCAAGTTGCTCCAACAGAGTCCAATGTGATGGGACAACTACTACATTCATCAGCTGGCATGCTCATTATATCACCAAGCATTCTTATTAAAGGTTTTATCACCAAGGGCAATTTAGAGAACCTTTTGAATTTCTCAGATGTTCATTTTCACTTGGTTATGTAAAAATTTAAAAGAAGCAAAGAATGTAGAGGTCGATAAAAGATCCTTGTTTTTCTTCAAAATGACCCAATAAAAAACTCTCCAACTTCTCTACCGATAATCAAAGAAGTCATTCAAACAATAGAGAAGCTGCTGATAGAAATTTCACGATTAAAACAGTGCTGCAAACTCGAGATTCGTATAAGCAAAGAAATAGCTTTCTTCTACTACAGCAAAGACCAACAGACTTAATAATTTACCAAAGACTAGATAAACAATTCCTCCAACAAGCACCCAAATTTCCTTAAAAATTTTACAATCAAAGATCTCACAGTTTATGACAAAGATAAGCTAGATGTACATTGTAACCTCATTAAGACAGGTGTACATCAGCGTGAGACTTGTCACTCAAAACATGTTCAATAACCTCATCTGAATTATTTCACAGTTGCTGACTTTCTCATTTTGTGAAATGATTCTATAAAGTTCTAAATGCTCACAAAACCATTAGTTAATACACATACAAAATTTCAAAAAATACTCAAGTGAACCATCTAATAGTTACAACACAATAGCTCATGCTGATCACGAAATTTAGGAAAACAACGCATTAAAATCATCAATATTCAAATTGTAAAGTAAATTTCCAATTCTCATCATCACCCCCATTGAGACCACATCACTTCGCCTTCACACTCACTCCGTCCTTCCCAGCAATAATCACTGCGGTCGCCATATCAAGAAACAACCCATGCTCAACAACCCCTTCAAAAGCCGAAATCTCCTTCCCCGCCGCATTTGCATCCTTAATGGGTGTCTTAAAATATAAGTCCACAATATAATTCATATTGTCAGTCACATATGGCTTCCCATTCCCATCCAATCTCAACTTCGCATCACACCCTTCCTCCTTAAACAACTCGGCAAGTCTCACCAAATTGTACTTCCAACAAAACTGAACCACCTCCACCGGCATTGCCAATCCACTCCCTCCAAGCCCATCAACCAATTTGGAATCATCGGCCACAACAACAAACTTTTCCGAAGCAGCTTCCACCATTTTCTCCCTGAGAAGAGCTCCACCACGGCCTTTGACCAAATTGAGATCTGGGTCTACCTCATCTGCACCGTCTATGGCGAGATCGAGCTTTGGGTGGTCATCAAGACCAGAAAGACGGATACCCAGTGAAGCGGCTTGCTCTTGGGTGCGTTTTGAAGTGGGTATTCCAACTATATCTGTTAATTCACCGGTTTTTAGCAGCTCGCCGAGCTTCGAAACGACGAAGGCGGCGGTGGAGCCGGTGCCAAGGCCGAGGACCATGCCGCTGCGGACGTACTCGACGGCTTTGTCGGCGGCGAGTTTTTTGAGATCGTCTTGGGTTAGGGGTGGCGAGGGGGAGGGTGAAGAGAAGGCTTTGATGGAAGGATATGGTGAGGAGGTGCGTAGATTAAGGGAGGGGGTGCGTAGGATGAGGCGGGTGGTGACATTCTGGTGGTTGAGGGAGGAGAGAGAAGGAGGAGAAAGGAGGGATATGGTCGCCATGGAGGATGACGAGGAAGGATGGTTGGTGTGAGAGGGGACGAGAGGAGAGAGAAAATGGGAGGTCGGTGTTTTAAGTCTCTTCTGCGGTCCAACTCTCTGGCTACCCTTCTCATATCTAATCCCTCTCTTTTGGTTCGTTTTGTGGTGACTGGTGAGGCCATTTGATGTTTTGGACTTTTGCAGGGCTCTATGTCGTAGAGCAAGGAAAATGTGCAGTACGATGCAATGAATATATTTTGATCCTTTTATATTAACTCCGCTCTTATTGATATTTTAGGAAAATTGGAAAAGCTGAACGATGATAGATAATGAAAAATTATGGAAGTTGTTAGATGACTAGTTACTCCCTCTGTTCTTAAATATCTACCATTTAAAGTTTTTATACAGGAATTAAGGAAGTTATTAAATAGCTATAATATGAGTAAAAAATAATTACACAAGACTAAAATATTCTTATTCAATATGTATTGGGAATGAACAGAATATGAAAGACATTTAACCTCTACCTAATCTAATGAATTGAAAAGTTAAGGGTAAATTTGAAAGAAAAAATATTAATTATGCTTTAGTTTTATAAAACGACAGATATTATGGAACAAAAAAAATTATGTAAAACGACAGATATTTAGGAGCGGATGAAATATTTTAATATATATATATATATATATGATCCAACAGCCTATTTTTTATTTTAAAGTTAAAATTAAAATTAAAAAAAAAAAGAATAGAAAACATGAAAGGAATGCTTCGGAAAACACCTCCCAACTAATATATTTGCTAGAATATATATTTGTATATGTATATTAGTTATTATTCGTAATATTATAATAGATAAAAAAAATTGCAATCAATTGTCTTTGCCAGAAAGCTCTAGATATACACGCACAAAAATCACTAATTACAATAAACAAAATAGACGACTTGACAAAAAAATAAATATTTCCGTTTTTCTACTTAATATGAAACCATGCATTAATCAACAAAAACATATGTGACTTGAAAGAAAAATGAAAAAAATGTGCGGGAATAAATTCACACAAAGAGTAACCATCTCGTACGAACGGAGAATGTAGTAAGGAAGCCACGTGGAACCTATAAGACAAGAAAACACCTAGATGAACCGATGGTCAAAAATGGCCCAAAGGACTTCGATGCTTAAGTCAAATCGTGATTCAAAGAAAAATATAGAGCGAATAGGTTCAAATTAAATATCTTACCTGGTACCCAAGGCCTTTATTTATAGTAATAGAGAAATGTATTCCACTAGAACCCAAACTCTAGGGTGATTGACTCAACCTCGTCATCAGGTTCTAGAAGTTTGGGGTAGAGTTAGACTAAGACTATTGGTTTTTTATCCTTATTGCCAGCCCCTAGTTACTCAGAGTAGCATTTCACTTGGACTCTAACTATTTTAATGCCTTATTTCCAACCCCTAGATATTTGGAGTGGTATTTGATTAGGACTCGAGGTCCTTGATTGATCCTTCATTGAGTAGGACTCATGTGTTAGTTGCCTTGGGTGCCAAGAGTGGACGAGGAAAGACCTACACTAGGCATTTTCCAAGTGGCAGTGGCCAAGTGAGCCAACTTTCGACTGGCAGAGGCAAGCCCAACTAGCGGTCAATTGGCTACAGCAAGCCTCTTGGCTTTGCAAACTGGTACGATGAAGCCTCTTGGCCTTTTGTCGAGAGGCATCAAGAAGCCTTTTGGCCTTTTTTGCTGAGTGGCATGAAGAAGCCTTTTGGCTTTTCTTGTTAGCTTTGCTGACTGGCAGAGGAAGCCTCTTGGCCTTTTAATTGGGTTGAGTACTTTGGTCCCCACAATTGCCCCTTATGCCTCAATTGACCATCTTTCATTAGTTAAGGTATGTGTTTAGAGGTTAGAAATTTTGTGGCCCCAATTAATTGGTAACTGGCTTATTTTGCCTAGAAGACTAGGGCTTTAATTACCAAAGTAGCTTAGGGCTTTATATTCACTTCCACCTTCCTTTCTTCCTCATATTGCTCTAGAACTTGGCTAGAAAGAAGAGAGGAATGAAGCTTGGAGCTTTAGAGAGCCGCTCGCATCACCGCCATTTACTGAAGTCGCCGCCACTCAAAGATTACCTTCTTGAAGTAAATTTCAAAACTTTTACAAGTTTCAAGCATGAATCTTGGATTGAACTTCACCTTTTCACATGAATTTTTGAATGTTCTTCATGTGTTCTTTGCATACCCATTTTGATTTTTCGTCTTGTAAAATTTCACAACCTTGCATGTTTATAACTTGGAACACGGGGGTCGAACTTGGGTATTGAAAACGTCATGTTGGCCAGCCAAGGCATGTGCCGACTCAATAAAGGAAAGTGGCCAGCCTCGAAGCTTACTGATTGGCAGTGGCTAGCCTTGCACAAGTCGACTAGTAGTAGGGGACTTGGGCTCGACAACCTAGGCCTCTTCTTCCTTTGAACCTCCTTGATTGCTCGAGTCTCCTTTGATTATTTTGTTTTGCTTGGGTAACCTTCTAAAGCCTGAATTGTCACGCCCCCCATTACCGAGTGCCACTTAATCACTAATTTAAACCGTGGATTACCCTTGATACCGTTGCTATGATCTGACATCATGTTGTGATATCCCATATATCAAGAATCTTTTCTCAATGATATTCAGACAGAGTCTCCTTTGTACGAAGAACTCCACTCAACACACAACCTATGCATAAACCATTCTATCAACCTCTCTGAGCCCAATATCAACATCCAAACAATTTAAACATTGATTACTCATCAATATACAACATGCATTCACTCAAAAGAATAAATGTCCCTAAAGTCCCAATTACGTGCCCTTTTAAACAAAATAATATGCAAGGCGAGTTTAAAAAAATATACAAGGAAAAAGTAAATGAAACAAGACTAAACAACTCAAAATGAAAGCCACATTCTGGCTCCATCCTCAAAGTGGGCCCAAGTGAGGGCTGTCAATGGAAGCGCTTCATGTACCTGAAATATATTCTCATAAAGAGGGAGCCAACCCCTAATAGGGTATCTCCTATGGAGATCACCTCCCAACCTATATGCATATGAAATTTCGTACAAGCATAAATCTTTTCGAGCATTCAATTCATATGCATAAACGTGAACAATGCTACTAATTCATGTCATGCAATGAAGTGTAAATTCATGCATGCAATGCCAACACCGACCTCATCCCGGGCTCGCACAACGCATGCAATGTCATGCATATGAATTCGGGTGTTCCAAGCCTCTGCCATAGATGTTAAACGTCCAATGACCATTTAATTAACTCAGTGTCTTTTTAGGGCAGTGATTTATGGTCTTTCACCAACGGGACACCACACCATCAACAGATCTTTAGGAAATTTCACATGCGGCTCTATTTTCGCTGTCACACTTTTATGGGCTCATTACACCAATGGAAAATGCATAACTGATAGTGCCATGTCTTGCATCCGATGGAGAATTTAGCCCTTCTTGTCATACCCCGACATGTTTATTTATATAAGTTTGGTGTGACTCACCCATTAACTCACCTAGGTGGTGATTGACCCAAAACCCATGCACACATACTCACACTCTTGTCAAATGTTCAAAAATGTAGTGCAACCCGTGCATTTGCAAATGTAATGTACAACTATAATTTAATTTCATCATAATGTTAATTATATCATGAAAACATGGAATAACATTTCATAAACATCACCAAGCATGTTATGTATGATCATTATTCAAATAACATACTTGAATTTACTTAAGCATTTATCAAAATACTTAGTGGGCATAAAATATAAACACATAGCATATCCAAATAAGTCATTTCATCAAACCAAACATCTTATTGTTGGTTGGTTATGCCTCTCCAACTAGTAGGTTCATATTTTTACAACCAAGCCCAAACCAAACTAAAAATGGGTTTTAACATACTCATATACTCACTATCAACACCCTAGATACGCTTGGTATGAGCTAACATATGAGATTACATCTCTATAGCTCTACTCATTTAATAAACAACCCTAAGTTGAAAGTAAACCTAGATAGGAGATAACCTTACCTCTTGTAGCGTGAATAAAGAAGAAAAAGCCTTATGAATACCCCAAAACAAGCCTCTACAAGACCTCCTTAAGCTCTAGCCCCAAACCTTGATTTCCAAAATTGGGAAAAATGGTCGTTGTTGGTACAAACGCGTAGCCCTTGTCAAGTGGAGTGTCTTTTACTCTTTCTTTATCTTGATCCAACGAATGGATCTCCGTAGATCAAAGGAAAAAGAAGATGAAGATGAAGAGAATGAGTTTTTCTTTCTCTCTCTCTCTCTCTCCCTCTCTCTCCCTCCTACAAAATTGAGGTAGGAAATGAGTGGAATAAAAAGTCTTCCACTTTATTTCCCTTTTTTATATTTGGCCTTTTATAGTGACATGTCACTTTTTCATTGGCCCCATTTTGTGTCAACCAATCACATTTCGCGCACGTGTTATGCTTGAAGTACTTTTATGAGATTTACTTTAAATTATATTATGGGTTCCGGGGTTAAAATCTGATAGCAGAATTTTAATCACGCAATACTTGATTGCGTTGTAACACATGAAAATATAACTATCTCGGAATTCAATGAAAATTGAATTTTTATTTCGTGATACAAAACCAATGGTGAGGTCCATTTTGTTATCCGAGTTATATAAAAAATTGAGTTTTTAACCAAAGGTCCAACTACCATTTTACCCCTTCAATTAAGATTTTTAATTTTCTCGGGTTTTATATTCTCCCACCTTTAAGGGAATTTTGTCGCCGAAATTACAAAATACATACACAACAACCTAACACATGCAACATGCAATGTAAATGCACATGTGCTATGCTACAAATTTTAAATTATACTTCTATCCTTAAACAAGAACGGATAGGTAGTCCGAATCATTTCCTCCCGCTCTTATGTCGCCTCCTCGATAGCCCGGTGCTGCCACAACACTTTCACTAGCCTCACAGTCTTGCAATTTAAAACTTGG